AATACCTAAGTGAAAAGCTGTTTACCACTATGTGTTTTCTCCGTGAGTTGGTTCGATGGAAATGGAGTGAAAAAAATCATATTTTATAGCACAAAACTTAAATTGATTTGCAATGAAAATCGCCTATGTTTCTAATTTATAAAATATGTATATAATAAAAAGGTAGTGTATACTTTATATACATAATATACATACACTGTGTATATACTATATAGTATATACGTATATACAAATATACAACCAGAGTATATATATAGCGTATACTTAGTCATTTTGATAACCTAGATAGCTGAAGGGTACATTTACACATAAGGCTATCTTTTTCTTCCATTTTAATTTTTTTTTAGTTATGATTTCCTTGTGTATTTACTAAGATAATAAACAATTAAAAGGGAAGAAAATATTTGATATGCAATAAAATATTTTTTTTACCGAAGGAGGATTTGGGCCGTTGGCGTTATATAAGGACCATGCAGATGGGCCTTGACCATCTAAAGAACCTTCTCCATTAATAGTCAGCCCATCAATATGTTGAAATAATATCCAATAGTCATCTTTGCATTTACCCAAAGGAGCTTTCAAAAGTCCATTAATGTTAAAAAAGATTGGGCCTTTGCATGGCCCATTAAATGTTAATGTATTCAACAAAAAAGTTCCTGTTGGAATAAGGATTGTGCCTCCTCCATTGTTTTGACATGTTTGGTTCCATGTCTTCAAAAATGCCTACAAAGAAACAAAAAGACTTTGAGAATCATGATTACGATAATCGGCAGATGTATAATATATGTATAACATGTGTATAATGAGTGTATATTCTATGTATATTAACCAGAAAGGGTAAAAAGTGATTAGACATATACATTGAAAGAAGTTATTTATCTACGCACTGTAATTATCCACCAAAAATGCATCGATAACTATTTTGGACAAGGGTAACTCTATCACTGTATACATTATTAGTATATTGTAACATGTTATAGTATTATGTCTATCGTATTTTCTAGATTACTAATTTCGACTATTGTGATTTTACCTGACTACTATCAGTCTTCCCATCAGGACTAGCACCAAAATCTTGAACATTAAACACTGAACCAATAGCATGAACTTGAGAAACCTTATTTATTATTATCAAGAAAATGACAAATAAAGAAAGGGAATGAAAGAAAAAATGGGAAGAAGTCATTTCTTGTATTGTTTGATTTTGTGTTTTCCTTCAATACTTGTGGAAAATGATAATTTTAAGTTGGGCAATTAAAAGTGATTTATTGGAGTATTTATTTAGTCAAAATTTTATAGTCGAAAATGGAAATGAAACAAATCAAATCCCAATTTTAACGTGAAGATCAATCAAATTTTAACGAGGCATCTCACTTTCCACTTTATAAATATGTTATTAAGTTATATGGATCAACTTAACGATTTTTACATTATACTTACTTAGTATATAACCTTGCCTATAATTAGTATAACAAATATTCATATTCAGTATTATTATTCGTTATACACTATGTCAACCGCCCTTAATAAGATAAATGTATCCTTTGAGATTTACTATGTTGAGTTGCTTTTCTTATAATTCTTAATCACTGAATTAGGCAAAATAATCTAGGTATAAAGATAGTTCTTATATTATTACAATCCTAAATCATTTATTTAATCACAAATATACTACTTGTAAATACCATGTTGATATTTTTACACTAGATAATAGATTTTTATCATCACAATTGCTTAACATATATATTCCATTATTTATAGGAGATATGGAGTATATAATTTCCAATAAACCAAAAATATGGTATACTGTTGAAGTATATGATAGAGATTGCTTTGCCTTTTTTCTTCTTTTAAAAATCTTTAATAAGAATCCTATAATTGATTAAATCATTTTTTTTTTATAAATAATAATAATAATAATAATAAATAGACAAAATATTAATTTGCAAAACATTACGCCAAGATTCAAGGTTAATTCATTTTATTTTATTTTTACCATTTTGGTATTTTGTTTGAAGAGATGAATGAAATAAGTAGAAGATACGACTTTTTGTAACATTATTAGCGTTTGGAGGGTTAAATGATTTTATTTTTTCAAATGAGATTTGAGGAAATAGGTTTTTTTTTTTAAAACTTATATAAACACATAAAGGGAAAATGCATAAGTACCCCCAGCCTATGCCCCAAATCCCTGAGACACACACACCTAACCTTTACTAATGTCCTATTGCCCCCTCGAACTTATTTTACATATAATTTTCTACTCATTTTCGGTCTACGTGGCACTATCCTTGACAAAATTGTCAACACGCGCTGGGCCCACAAGATAGTGTCATGTAGGCCGAAAAGGGATAGAAAATTATATATAAAATAAGTTCGGGGGTAATAGGACCTTAAGTAAATGTTAGGTGTGTCTCAGAGATTTTGGGCATAGGCTGGGGGTACTTATGCGTTCTCCCACACATAAATAATAAAAAATTAAAAATTGAAGATTCTCTATTCAAATTCACTCAATTTGACATTTGGTATTCCAAATCATGCCAGATAATAAAGTAATACAAGAAGGAGTAAAATTTACCTACAGATAAACAAGCGAATTAGTTCGCACTCAATTGATACAATTTCATTACCAATATGATCAAAACATACTTTAATCACCAATTCGTACTACAACTTCAACAATAATAATAATAACAACATACTCAGTATAATTTCACTGACTCTCACAAGTGGAATTTGGGATAGTATAGAATATACACGAACCTTACTTTTACCTTATCAGGTAACAATAATACAACTCGAAAGAAAAGAAGTAAAATATATCATTCACAATATGATAAGCACCATAAGTCTTGAACTTTTACACATTTGAAGTATTGTCTTGTTTGACAATATGAGTTGAAGAAAAAGGAGCAGTAACATAAGTACCAGGTGGTGGGGTGGGTACCCCAAAGACTTGTGGATTGGTTTTTAAATCTTGTCTACCTTTAGCTCTTCCAAAGAAAAAACATCCAAATCCAATAAGAATTGTGAAGAGTATAAATGGAAGAGAAATAACAACAACCATACCCATCTCTCTTTTTGTTCTAATTTCTTAGCTTTTAATGGAGTGTATAGAGAATATTTGTGTAGATGCTCTATCTTTATAGGCAAATGGTGTGGGGGAATTAATTGGATTGTAACGTTAGGCATAACGTTCAACTTTTCTAACGGTTACTTTTTTTTGTTTAATTCTGAAAAGAACATGGAATATATGTTTGATTGGTTGGTTAAGGCGGTAGGGATGGCAATGGGGTGGAGTGGATGTGGGGTGGGAGGGATGCGGGGCTTGTTGAAGTGGATTTAAAAAAAAATTAATATAGGGTGGGGCGGGTTGCGGGGTGCAGATATATGGGATTTTATGTAAGATCAAATTTAAATTTAACTTCTTACATGTTATAAGAGTGATAGACATTATTTATTAAGATTTTTTTTTTAAAAGCTACTAAATATTTAAGATAGTAAATGAAAATGGTTCAATAAAAAATAATACATTTTTTACATGTTTCCTAATTGACCTCTAAAAATAAATTTCTAAGTCATTATCTATTAAATTAATATAACTTAATGAATAATGAATTTTATTTTTATGAATTTTATTTTTAACTAGAAAAAAAATATTTAAAAATTATGGGGGCAGGTCTATGCGGGACGGGTTGAAAATGAAAAAAATTATTATGCGGGACGGGTTGAAAATGAAAAAAATTGTTATGCGGAGCGGTGCGGAATAAAAAAATTGTGGGTTAAGCTAAACCCGCCCGGCATCACCCCATTGCCATCCCTAGTTAAGGGTCTCATTTGGTAGCCTTTTTGATAAGGTGTATAAGAATACTATTAAATAGAATTTATTAGTAATGTTTGTATTAATATGCAGAAATTATTTTTTATGAATTGTTTGATTTTGTATATTAAAATAGAATGCATTACATAATTTTCAAAAAATATATATTTATTTATAAAGATACTCTCCACAAATATAGGGAAAAAGATGTAAAATATGTTTTAAGAGGCAATTGAGTTTTTAATCATGCTAAGGCATTAAATCCTCTTGTATTATTCATACCATTAATTTTCATATATTAGTAATACACAATATACAATAAAATTTGTATAACTAATGCAAGCATAAGCTAAAAAAATTATACCAGACAAAGTATTATTAATACACAAAACTAATATATACCTTATTTCTTATAAATCATTATTTATCCATGTTATAAACTAGTATATTCAAAATTTGCGGCACAAGCTTAACCCTCCCTCGCCCCGCATCGCCTCATTGTCATCCTTAGTTAAGAGTCTTATTTGGTGGTCATTTGATAGTGTGTATAAGAATAATATTAAATAGAATGTATTAGTAGTATCTGTATTAATATGCAAAAAATATTTTTTATGCATTTTTTTATTTTGTGTATTAAAATAGAATGCATTACATAATTTTCAAAAAAATAATATTTATTTATAAAGATACCCTCCACAAATATAGCGAAAAAGATGTAAAAAATATTTTAAAAGGCAATTGAGTTTTTAATCATGCTAAGGCATTAAATCCTCTTGTATTACTAATACCATTAATTTTCATATATTTAGCAATACACAAGTCAATATACAATAAAGTGTGTATAACTAATGCAAACATAGGCCAAAAAAATTGTACCAGTACACAAAACTAATATATACCTTATTTCTTATAAATCATTATTTATCCATGTTTATGTTGTCGTCTTTGGTTGAGTTAGGTCCATTTGACCATGAATATATATTACTTTTTTTCGAAATTAAATTGTTTAGCCATAAAATTTTGAAAAATACCATAATTTGAATTTATGATTGAGCACAACTTTAAAAAAAAAATTGCATTTTAATTTTTTTTTCAAATTTCATCTTGATGGTCAGGCAGAAATGTCTGGAAAAAAGGAAATGAAACTTGAGAGTTTTGAACTGCACTAACGGAGTATTATTTATTTGAATTTGGAACAGACAAGCAGACCTTACTAGTAATAGTTCTTCAATGTAGCTGGTTATTTAAAATGAAAATTCATACTAGAAACAACTAAACAGATGGATGATCATAATAAAAAGTCTGAGAAATTCTTCGAAATCAATTTGCAGGTTCATCAGCTTCAGGAGTCTCTTGTTCAGCTTTCTCTTGCTCAGCTTCCTGCACTTCCTTCTCTGTCTTCCTTCCTTTCTTCGATTTATAGTACACACTCATGAATGTTCCGATAGCTTTGTACTTCCTTCTGCATTGCTCGTACAAACTGTTATCAAACATCCTCCAGAAATTCTTCTCTGTCAGCTCAGTCACCGCGTATTGAGCCTGAAATCCATGGTTTTCTATCAACCAAAGCTCAAGTTGGCGGCATTTCTCTGAACCATCAAATGGCTCACCCCTCAGGACTGCTCCCGGAACATAGTACACACCAACATCAGTGTACATTTGTGCATATTCCGTGTCACCCTGCCTTTTGTGTTTCTCAAATCCTGGTTCAGGGTAGATCATAGGTCTCACAGGCAGCTTGTAAATTCTGTGTGGGCAGAGCCAAATGGGATATACCTAAACAAATTCAATTCAATTCAAATACAATCAAATTTGTATATCTTGAACATAAATCAAATACTTCCTCCGTTAAAAGTTGTCAAAAACCAAAAAAGGAAGTAAGATAAACAAATTTTGAATGGAGGGGTATAAGAGTTTTACCTCCATCTCGCGGTGAACCCACTCGAGACAATCGCCGACCTTGTAAAGAGGAACAAGCAGATCCTGAATGACATGATGGTCATGGTAATAGTTTCTAATAGCCTCACTTTGGGTGGCTTTGAGCAGAGCAATCTTTGGTGGCATGAGCCATCCTAAGAGGAACCTAAACCAGAACTGATCACCAAATGGAAGAATTAGTTTCCCTTCCCAATACAACGATCTCGTGTGCCTGTGGTAGTAGTCCCTAGTTGGGATGTACTCCACAAATTCCCCTCTTTTCAGTGCGGTTTGAGCGTGTTGGTAAAACCATGGTTTGAACCACCAACCATAATTGTTGATTACATTACCCCTTCGTTTGGCTTCTTTCTTCGAAGCATACATACCGGTCATCATAACACCTTCCGTTGGACCATAAATCATGCCTTCTACCATCTCTGGAACTTTAGAAGGATTGTCCTGATCTCCATCTTTAGGTGCAAAAGAATCCGCATAAGCCTGTGCAAGCTCTTTAAGATTACCCCTTACAGGTTTGTAGGTAAGTTTTACGTATTGATCAACTGGTATAAGCTTGATTTCAGCTGAAACAAGAAGCCCCAATGTCCCTTGAGACCACGGAATAGCGTAGAAAAGATCAGAATATTCGTTGTCCTTTGTAGCTCTAACAACCTTTCCATCAGCTAGAACAACCTCAAGTGCTACAACAGTGTCAGAGAACAATCCAAAGATGTGAGAACTTCCTTCGACCCCGAACCCATTGATCAAACCACCAACGGTAAGATCATCAAGCTCAGCAAGAACTGCAAGGGAAAGATTCATTGGAATAGTGACCCTTGACATTTGGCCCATATTGACAAGAGGCTCAACTTTGGCAACCATACGTTCCGTGTCAATATCAAGTATATTTCTAAACTTAGAAAGATCAACTTCAAAATGACGAGCACGTTTATAGTCAACGTTTCTCATTCCAACAACAACCCAAGGAGGCCTGGCCGTGCAGACAAGACCATCCTTTTCTGCATTCCTCTGTCCAAGGCGCTTCACAACCTCTTTAACATTCTCATCGTGTTCCATCTGGCGTTGCTTGTAAGATTTCTTCTCAGACTTCAAATCCCCTAGATATATGGAGAAGTAATACAAGAACGAGAATGGAAGGACAAAAAAGATAACAATGATCCATCGGAACGAAAGAAGAAAGTCCACCAACTGGATCTTCCTCCTAGGGTGAACGGTGGCCGCGGGGGCCTTAGCATCCGACATCTTGGAAACTTGAGGACGTATAACTGTTACAACGACGAATCCAAGTTATGAACCACAGCCAAGAAATGTACTACTTGTCATCATCAATCACATATAGCAATTGAGCACTACTTTTCATATAAGAAACTCAATGCTATTGAAATAAACAACACAGAACCTCTTCCAAAAACATAATGCTATTCAAAGTAAGATTAGCAACATGATGTAACAAGCATTTGGAGAAAAACGCTAACTTCAGTATAATCTTGAAACTAAAAGTTGGAAATTATGCACAATATATAACCATTGACTATCCATTTTCTTGCTACTAATTTATCATTGTAAAATCAACTGATGTAAAGGTAAACGTCACTAATCTGAATGGTCACTCAACTTATACTAATTCACCGTTAAACGTCACTAATCTAAGTCGTCTTCCAAAAATCATCTAACTTTTTGACTAATTGACCTCCATGGTCATTTTAATTAGAAATATAATTTCAACTCTTCTTTTTTATATCCTCAGCCTTACAATCCTCTTTCAAAAATATATCATCCATTCACAACAAAAAACAAAAAAAAGAAAGTAAAAATAATCCATTCGGCATTCTCAATAATTTATTTATTCAAGTTTAGGGAAGAACAGTAGTAAACGAAAACAGAGTAACTAATGACAATTTTTGTTGACATGCAAAACTAACAAAATTACTAATATATGCTTCTAATTGCAGCATTACCAAAATAAGATTATGCTTCTTCACTTCAAAATTAGTAACTCATTCCACAACAATATAATTTGTTCTTCACAAAATTTAGCTTCAACACTTTGGTCTATACAAATAACTTCAAAAAATTAAACCCAAAAACTTCAGCATGCATGAAAACTCAATGAGCAACAAATTAATTTGTTCTACTCTAAATATGGCATGCATTGTACAAAAAACCAAATTCTTAATACTAATTATGATTTTTCATGAATAAATAGCTATAAAAATTAGCTTGAATTTAACAAAATAATAATCATACTGAGAAATAATTGAGAAGAGATGAAAAAATGAGTACCTGATAATTTGATTGCAGAGTGTACTCCCCAGAATGAGAGATGGTTTAGTAATGGATGAAAGTGTGCTTTATAGAGAACTTACAACAATAGGGGTATTTACGGAAAAACATGTCATTTGGTTGGTAGGGGAGGACATTGACAAAAAATGATACCAAATACACTCGTAAATTAGGCATAAATTATTAGTTTAATTCCTAAATTATTGATCGTCTTAAAATAATATATTTTTGATCTGGCAACATAAATACGTTATCTAAATTTTCGTTAAATTTAGAGATGTTTTCAATATTTCTCTCTTCCCATATAGACCATATATATATTTAAATGATGAAACAAATCAATCATGAATATAAAAAAACCAAACTCATTTTATCAGTGAGATTAATATCTTTAGCCCACCATTTTAGCCTACCAATCAAATGACCCCACACTACTTTAACTATAATTCAGAAAATGTACAAAAGTATCACTATAATTTTACATTTTTTATTCCACTTTTGAAGAGTCGTTAATTGTTCTTTATATACCGTTAAATGTCATTATAGAGATAATATCATTTGAAAATTACATAATTATTATAGTGAGGTACTATTTAGATTTTATTTTTGAAGAAAAGTATGAAAAATAATTAGTTTAATGATTTTGAATATAAAAAAGAGGCAATATATTTGTTAATTAAATTAAACGATAATGGGCATTCATCGTGAAGTGATAATCATAAATCATTATTTATGGACATTATTCAAATATGATGGATTTTAGATATTCATATTTAAAAACACTTATTATATATTTAACTTATATATTATATATTTTCCACAAAATATTATTACACTGTAGTTTAATATGTCTAGTATAAAGAGATAATTTTACGGATGATTTACTATTATATAATGAATATCATTATTCATATAAGTAAATAATATTACAGAAACAATTAAAATAAACATGAAAATTTGGTTTTGCACTAATTAGGTCAAATCCTGTTAATAAAATACTGTTACAGCGAATAATTATTGATAAATTAACTGAGGTTTAGTTTTAATAGATTTAAATAATTATAGATACTACTTAATATTGAAAAATATTTTTTTTCTTGATAAGTTAAATTAGATAACTAAATATAAAATTAATTTTTAATATATTGGGGAAAAAATAGGGAATAAAAATTAGAAGGAAAAAAGACAGAGTAACTTATCGCCCGCTGACAACCACGTGACCTTTGGCCCGCTTTCCAAGTGCATTATTTTGGTGAAACAATAAATGATTTGTCTGCCACGTAAATAGGTAAAATTATACTACCTCCGTTCACTTTTAATTGTCACATGTTTTTCAAAAATCAATTTAATTAATTTTTAAAGTTAAATTAGGTTACAAGTACCATAAATTGCAATATTAATCATGTTAATATGATGAAAAATACATCATAAAATATTTGTCAAAATTATTCTAGTTTAACTTTTAAAAAAGAAATCATGTCAATTAAAAATTAACGGAGGGAGTATATGAAACGTAGAATTTATTGAGTGCAAATGATGAGCTGAGAAAAATTGAGAGGTCTTATGTGATTATTTTGTCATTGTTCTATAGTATGAAATAACTTATTATATAAATTATAAAATAAATCAATTTTGAACTTAAACTGATTGCTTATCACACTTCACAAGATAAAAGAAAAAGTAATTTTATAAATTATTTAAAATTATTACTCTTATCCTATCAACAGACTTATCAAACGTACAAGTTAGATTTTGTAATTTTTTTTTATTTTTCCCTTTAACATTGGTTGAGCAGCATTCTTGAATTGTTTTTTTTAAAAGAAAATCCTATTAGAATATCTAGCTCCTTCAGCATCAATATATATATATATATATATATATATATATGAAATTATGATATTTCAAACCATTATAAATAAAAATAATTTTCATAAAATTCACTTTTAATTTAAAAAAATTATAAACCTTTTACACGTGTTCATTATTTATTCAAGATTCGTTTTGTTAATCAATCAATCTTAATAGCTGTTTCTCTGACCGTCACCTTGTTTGTTGATACTAAATTTATCAACAAAACAAAACAGATGAAATATAATACTACTAAAAAACTTGGGCAAATAAAAAAACTTGAAAATTCATAGTTAAATGTGGTCTGCAACGTGTACATAGATTAAGTAGACGTCAGAAAATATAACTATATACAATGAGAGAGTGACCATTTGTTAAAATTAGAGTTTTTAATTAATTATGAATACATAGATTAAAGAGATGTCGTTTTTTTATCTTTCTAAATTTTGAATTTTTCCTTATAATATTATTGTGACAGCCCGTGTTAAAACTATTGTTGATTCGAAGATAGTCGTAATTGGATATGTGAAATTCATAATCAAAGTATATTCTTTTGAAACCCCAAGTGACAGAATTGCTAACTACAGTTAATAATCCCAAAGTTTTACTTTTACGTTTTTCGGCTATTTCAAAAATATATTATTTTTTATTTTTAATATATTAAGAAAATACTATTTCTAATATATAAAATTATCATTCCTCTTTTCTCATATTATGTGGTACGATATTTAAGAATGTTTTTTATAAAAAATTGTTGTTCGAAACAATCTTTGGATACTTGTATAATGATAAATAATTACATAGAGTAAAATACTCATATCAAGTACTTCATCCTCCCAATTTAGAAAAAAATTTGAAATTTCTAATCTAAAATAAATCATAGATATTTGTATGTTTATAAATAATTTTATCAAGGGTAAAATGGACGTTTTAAAGTTAAATTATTACTAAATATATAAATCTGTCATTCTTTTTTGGACTGATTAAAAAGGAAAGTAAGTCATATAAAATGGAATAGGGGAAATATTACTTTCCTCTTATCCCATATTAATTGAATGATATAAAACATAAACGTGTATTTTAACTTGGCATCAACTGATATTTATGTTTTTCAATTTAGAATGTGCACACGTAGGCATTTTACCTTGTGTGAGGACTCAAACAGACTCTCTACCCGTGCGCGTGCCTATTTCACTTTAGGAGGTATCAGAGCGGAGTTTTGGGTAAAAACCGTCCGATTTCTACTAATTCTCTTCTTGTTGTACCATGTACATGACGATAGCAATGGAATGCAATTTTATATAAGTTTAACTATCTATTATTACATACTCAAAATTGGAGGGCATAGATACAAGCTGAAACCTACTTAATAACATATTTATATATTATGCCTAGTTGAATTTAGGGTATACCACGCACCCTTAGAAAATATATTTAAAAGTATAAAATCAAAGACTATTTTCTATATTACCCTTCTTATTATTCCTAAATTATTCTTATAGATAAATATACATTAGTGAAGAGCCTCATAAAAAAGAAGGTTTTATAAAAAAATTCAACTATTTTATTAAATGTAGGAAAATTTAATTATTTTTAACGATGGAGAAAGTCTCAGACAATTTTATTAGATATGTTTAGCCATTTGATTCAAAACATTTTAAGAAATTATTGGAGTTAAAGTTTTGTTTGAACATGTATTTTGTCACGATTCAGACCGTCGTGATTGCACCCACACTAACTCTCTGGTGGGAGAACCATTACTACAACCCAACTACACAACTTAACGAACACCAGAACATTTAAAGATACGGAAGAAGGTTTAAATGTCTAAAGAAATCTGGAGTTCCCATAAGTCCGAAAGTTAACAAAAACAAACTACCAACATTGCGGAAAACAATTCCTAGAACCTGAAAGTCAATGTACCAAAACTCTACTAACAACCAACAAGTCTAAGGAAAAAGGAGTACAACCTCGAAAGCTAGAACATAACAAATACCTAAAGAACTAGTCTAAGTCCGAAGAGAATGGACTAAACACAAGAAAATCCATGGAAGCTTGGAAGAACTGGCTCACCCTTGAATTCGGTCTCGATCAGTGATCTCCGAAATGAGATCTGTCAGTAATCGCATGAAAATGCCATGTATTCAACAAAGAAAAAGCAAGTGCAGTATCGGTACACAATCACAGTGTACTGGTAGGATCATGTGGCTACTCCCATAAGCACAATATACAACAAACAATCACAACATAATAAGCACACATATACATAATACCGTTCAGTTATTATTTCAGAGCAACATGCAGTCTTCCATTAACAATGACAAGTAGACATAAGCATAACAATCAAAATAGTTCTCTCATAGAGCCCATATCCAAACGGTTAGTGTGTCGAATCGTAACACCTGATCCAAAGTATGTGTCGGAACGTGACACCTGGTCCAATATATGTGTCAAAATGTGACACCCGATTCAATATATTTGTCGGAATGTGACATCTGATCCAATCAGCACAACCACAATCACAATCACATCCATAATAAACATTACTCAAATCCTAAAATTAAGTAACGGGTTCATAGCATGTATTGTTCACACATCATCATTTCATTAGGTTCGATTCACATTTCCCTATTCACATACACGCATTCATACAATGTAGCAATAAATCGACATATATCACACAAACAGGAAATCAAACAATCACATACCTCGAAACCAAGCTTGAATTCTTTTCGCTTGTTCTAGGTCTACAAACAATTAATACAACGCAAGGATGAATAATTAAGGTCTAATTTACCCGAATTATACCAAACCCATGATCTTAATGTGTAGCTAGGACTTTTTTCACCATTAATTTCAGGCCAAAACCCTCTCTTAATGATAATTACCCATGAATCTAAGTTCTATGGATCGAAAAACAGATCAGGGGAGTAAAATCCTTACCTTTAGCACCAAAAGTCGTGCAAAACTGTTAAGAATTCGTCAACTCTTAAGAATGAAGATTGCAGAAAAATAACAAAATTGAGATTTTTCTCTGACTTAAGTCGCGACTGGTCTGCTATAGTGACCACGCCCGCTACAGCGGCCCTGCCCTGGTGGCTTACACAGATACAAAACCTCGTAATTTAAGTTTCAAGCCCCCATTTCACAACACACCTTCAACCCTTGACGTTCAAAAACTACACTTTCACGCCAA